CTTAGATGAGAACAATAATTTCTGTGGCAGTGCTTTGTACTACACTGACAAATGATACTCCGCAATGAGGGGTCACTTCCAAAATTGTTTCAGGGTTTTTCGTGAAAGCCATTGTTATTTGACAGAATGGCATGACCTTCAAATTTCAAGTATGATGGCGTACAAGCAACTGTGGACACACTGCTTGTATTTTCAATCCTCTTAATTAATATATGTAAGTGAAGTAGCCTGCTGTATTCTCTGACCCAACAGTGATGCTGCAATATGGAGTCATAGCGGTAATGCAGTTTGCAGCTGCGTATGATAGATCAAGAAAGATGAGTGTGTATGACAGGAACACCCCGCCTGGCAGCCGCAGGTTAATCGACGTAAGCAGTTTGGCGTCAGGGTGCATGAATATCGAATAGCTCGCAAGTGACCAAGCGACCGAGTTTCAGAGGTACCAATATACAGAATTATGCAACAAACAATGTACAGTATGCAAACATACACAATATATACACAAATACAATTACAAAAATATACTTTCGACCGGTCTTCTCAGAAGTTTTCTTCTTTGGACTTTGTGGCGGGTCATCGATAGTCCAAAAGTTCACAGATTACCGGATGTATGCACAGAATTGAGGCTTTTTCACTCAAGCATTGCAGGTCAGGTTCATACACTTGTTCGGTGGCCTCCGTTAAACTGAAAGACACGAGCTAATGGGGGTTTTGCACTGTTCTTCTGGTTCTCAGCGCTAGGTGGCAATTTTGTTAGCACAAGGACTCAGATAAAAAGCTTTCGAAGGTGCTTTAAACTTGATCCTAGATGCAGCGGGAACAACCACCTAGGGAGAGCTTTTTACGCGCCCAATAAAATTATGCATTATGAGCTTGAAAATCTCCTTACCATCTCCTCGCCGTGTGGCAGTCGGGCCACTTGTGGTTGATCAGACATTGTTTGAACAGGCCATCAGTAAGTATCATGTCTCCTTGACGGTGACGATACCCCAAAGTATAAAGGCCAAGCACCGGGAGGCCCATTTAATAGTCCATGAATTTAATGTCAGCAATCAATTCCGTAGCAGCTCATGGGACACGGTGAATAAGGATTATCGTTGTGTATGCTGGGTGGAAGACTTGTTTAGCAGATTCAAGAAATGGTTCGGCTCATGCCGCATATGGCATCTGGAAATCCATGACAATAGTTTGGGAGAGGTGTGCCGAATTATCCGCAAATTGCGAGTGCTTTTGAGCTGATTTTTCATGGTGCAGTGAGGAGGACACTTTTAGGAGCACCGGGTACCCAAATCCTCCGTGCAACCCACTTTTATGATGTCTTCTGGTTAATTTAATCCACGGAGGACAAAGGCGCCCGTTGAGTGTTCTTGAACGGCACTTGGGCACACGTCTCGTCACCCGGGGTAAGGTGCCAGCCAAACGACTACTGCTTTGCAGCACCTGAATTCACTTTGGGGGAACTAGCATTTAGACCCCGAGATTTCAAGTAATCCACAAAAGATGGACGTGAACTTGGAAAACCTTCAGGAAGGTCGTTGACGTCAGAAACAGAAGTTGTTCCAAAACAAAGGCTTGAACAATTACAATGAAGACCGGCACCGACGGAGAGTAGGCCGAGCCTACTTTCATTTGGAAATTTCCGTCAGATGAAATACCCTAATCCAGTGTATACTTTTCTATTGAATCCCGAACGAACCGAGCCTGTGGAAAAGTGGGATGTGTGAGACTCGATCGGATGCTTTTGAGAAGTCGAAAAACATGGAATCTGGTGATTCCCCTGTCTTTGAGTTGGGTTGAGCTGCCAATTATTGCCAGCGTGTTCATCAAATAAGCGGTTAGGGATAAATATATGTTGAACTGAGGATATAAGGTCGTTGGTAGTAAGTTATTCTAGATTGATTCGCTTCAGAATGCGTTCCGTCACCTTGCATGGCACGTTTGTGAGGCCAGTAGGCCTGTAGCTGGCGTGCGATTGTCGATCACCAGTTTTCTAGATTGACGTGACAATCGCTTCCTTTCAAGCAGAGGGAGGGTGGCTTTCGTCGAGCGATTGACGAAACATCAAACAGTAATGCTTTGCCAGCGTGAACGACCTTTCCTTCAGGGTCACCGGATGGACCTCGCCTGGCCATAACGTGCAAAACGGGTCGAGCTTGTGCAAGACTTGACGAATGTTCGCTTCCGAAGAGAGGCTGATGTAGCTACGTCTTGCCAAGACTGGCTGTGACGGGGTCGTAAGGGCATAATACAGGCCTGCACAGCGTTCTCTGTAGACATCAGATACCACTATTGGGTCGCTCTTAGGTTCCACGTCCCCCGAGAAGACTGCAGTTGGTCTACTTTTGCGGCAATGTCTAATGTATTAATGCAGCGCATTTCTGTCTTTTCCGAACGAGGTCTAAAATAGTAACTTGTTTTCGTCTATCGCACTGACGTATTTGGGATTTAGAGCGGTTTCGTATATATCGCATAGCCAACTTATTTTCTCTGTCACCTGTGGTCAAATTTTTGAAGAATACTTGAGACCACTTTTCCAGAAGACGCCGAATCCTTTTAGCTACCTTGCTGTCCATGCGGCTGCATGCTCTTTTTGGGACAAACATCGCGTCGACCGTGAACCTTCTGGAACATCGTCTCGTATAAGTTTTTCATTAAAGCTGGTCCCAGTTTAATTTGATCAAAAAGACAGCAGATGGAACAAAAGATCAGAACATGGTGTTAACGGCTTCCCAGTGGAGTGTTAACTCTCACCTGCTCAACGAAGCCTTTCATTGGTGGTGACCGAATCCAGAAAGGATGGTAGTTGTCCAGCATCAGGAGGGCGCAACGACATGTTAGGTCCAAGCACTCTAATGAACGACTTTGGCCAGTACCGCTGCGAAAAGCCCGCTTGATCCACTTCGCTGGAGTCCTATCCACAGGGCCATTGAAGCGTTTAGATCACCTACCTATTACCTGTGGTGGAAGCTGGAAAAGAGCTGCCCAGTGGTTTGAATGGGGAATTGGTCATCTTCGGAGGACTCGAGGGGCAACGGTAGACTACGCCAAGAATCAGAGAATCGGATCCGTACAGCAGAATATGAACCCATACGGTACTGTAAAAAGGTGCAGGAGCGGTATCAGCAAAGACAATGTAGTTGGACGGGGCCGCATGAAAGTATAAAGCAACTCGGCCAGCTTTCCCTCGTTTCCAGTCAGCTCCAAGGCGGGGTGGCCGTCTGTCGAGATGCCTACGTCATCAGCATCTGGTGTGAGCCAGGTCACCGTAAGTGCGATCATGGACGGCTGTTCAAGGCAAGCTCATTGTTAGATCTCGCAAAGTTTGTTGAAAAGGCTGAGGGCAGTTTGTGGACAAGCATTTTAACACCATCCCTGCTCCTCCCGGAGGTGGAGGGCCGAGAGGTGTGCAACCAAAAAGGTCATCGGATTTGATAGCTATACGTCGGGTATGAGTACAAGACTCCGAAATGACCCCTGGGGCACACTTTTCTGCTTCCTGTCTTGGTGATTCCGAGAGCTGCCTTTCATTTGCATTCATTGCACCCTAATGGTAGAGGCTGCTGGCGCAGACAATCGGGATGGGAGAGTTAGCTGTTTGGCTTACCTCGTCGTCCTGTAAACCCGTACATTTAAAGTGCCATCCAAACTTGCAGACGTGGCAATGCATACCAGTTCCTACATTTGACGGACAGCCAGTTTGCCCGCATCTGTTGTAGTCCATATATGGTTGCAGAGCACAGTCTGCATTGATTTGAGCCATGGTTAGGATTCGCGCACTACGGGAACAGAGTGAACGCTGGAAGTGGTTATCACGCAAATATTATGTTAGAGCAAAAAATTCAACAAATGACACGTTTTAACTCTGTAAACAGATTGAACAGCGGAAAAATTCTTCCATAAATTTGCACGAGAAAAAAGAACCGATTTCGAACAATGTAGTAGTGAAATTCAAGGTCCGAACAAGGACTGTCCCCGGCCCAAACTCTCGTCCGTCATCTCTAAATAGGAGGCCCCCACTGAGTCTCTGAAGAAATCACCAGTTTCCAATTGTCTTTCGAAACCGTACGTATATTCACTTCCCTTAACACCCACTCACCAAGTTCTTCCGCGCAACTGAGGCAAAGTTGTCTTCTCCAACAGGCACTTTCCTGAGGAATTATCAGCCGGGTAAGCCCTACAACCTGCAACCTCTCAACCACCCAGTAGCCCCAATTTACGATAGTTTGAGAGTTTAGTGCCCAAGCAGTATTGATGGAGCCCCAGAAACTCTCTCTACGTTTCTGGCCTTATGAACACTACCGGGCCGTCCCGAAATTGTCGCGGCTCGCCCATATTGTGCTTTGGACGTGGACCGTCGCTTGGACTTCAACGGTGAGTCTGGCCGATCCAGGTCGAACGTCAGTTGAGGCGACCTAACTGCCTCCTTCCACTTTTCCGTTCAACTTTCCAAACACCACCACGACAGACACCTTGATTTGCTCCGGAAGAGACTCAATCAAAGCGCGCGTTCTGGCTACGGTAACCACGCAACCCGGAAAACAATAATTAGTTATGCTGTCCGCCTTTTGCTAACCATCCATCCCCGTGGAAGAGACTGTAGTCCTATCTGGCTACCCTGCTGGAGCGCCGTGAACATATGTTGGGGACTGTTCAGAAGGAGGCCATCGTCCCCAGTTACAGCTTTTTAAAAAGTGTTCGTTACGAGCACGTTTGAAGAGCTCACCAAGTAAACGAACACACCTCAATTTCTGAAAACTTCCTACTTAGTTCCGACTGGCCTCATTCGTCCCCCTGGGGGATTTCGTCATCCGCTATAAAACATCTGACCTGCGACAATTAAGTTCGATAGCAGATGTGAAACCTAAATGACGCCTGAAGTAAGCGGAAAGAAGCTAGTGAATAACTGAGTGAAAGCAACAATTTTAACTGCATACCGTTGTTGAAGGTTACCTTTATCATATTTGTTTTACTGCATCAAGGGAGGCATTTCGTTCGGCCATCTCCGTTCGCGAGGGACCTCCTTTGTTTTTCGTGTATCGCGTTTTTGGAATGGAAATATTTACCGACTTTTGGCAGCCTGGAGGCTGATTCCCTGTTGTTACTCTTAACTTATATTTCGCCGTATCATCGCAGTATAACGTCCGCAGCATGGTTAGCACCGTCGATACCGTCTCCCGCCCCATGGATTTTTTGACACTCAGGGAGCTTGGTCGAACATTCCAGTCTGCCCAACAGAAGACTTTTGACGCGTTAACGTGTACACGAAACCTCAAACCATTCATAGCTGACACTTCCCCTAACAGCCGGTCGACATATCTGCTGAGGCTCAATCCAACACAGAAGCTTCTGGCAGCCGCTCACGGTGACAGATCAATCAGCATATACTGTGCGGTCACTGGCTGTTTGCTTGCGAGATGCATGGGACATGAACGCTCACCCTGGACGATTTCAGTGAGTCGCTCATCAGGTTTCTTTGTAGGACCACGATGTTCATTTAATTTCGAATATTATGTATGAGACCTCTTACGGACATGGTACTTAGTCCAAATCAGTGTTTTTTTTTCCAGTGACCACGCCCACAAGAAGCGTATGGCCCAAAAGAGACTAGTGCTAAACACTCCATAAGGCGGACAGGTTCGGTCTAAGCGTCATCGGCACGAGGGTACAAGAAGTTGCTCTCAGGGACACTGTAAATTTCTGCAATCCCCCAACAATGCGTTGTCTCATTTTGTCCGTTTAATTATGGACCCATCGCTACTACCAGTTCACCACTGTCCACCGTTCGTCGTTCATCTAAACTCCTGAATTTTCTGTATATCCTGGGTTGCAGTCAGCTAACCTCATTGCGATGGACAAGTGGTATAATCTGAACATTCCAATTCTAAGTAGCAACCCAAAATCCATCTCGAAATCGGGCATCCTCATGATTCAGTATTCACTATTCTGGATAACTAACTTTCGCCCCAGACACTGAGTAGGGGAATAGTGAAGCTGAGTCGTTTTTTATCACTATTTATCCCAGGAGCTCCACCTATATTCCACACAGTCACGGCGGCAGTTCGCAATCCCTAGTGTGACCATATTTTGAATTCCATCATTCATCCACCTCGAAAGGGTCCTCTGTGTATTGCCTCACTCGTCCCTGTCCTAGGGTGATCTCACTTTTCTTCGACTGTTCTGATAACAGTCCTTTATGAGACGCAGTGAACTATCTTACCTACGATAGCTCAATCAAGCTCTTCCCTGTCATACTGAAGGGGGAAATCTGTATAGATCAAATTGATACCTCTTGTTCCATCATGCCATCCTGACTGCACGTATGACTGAAACCTCCTCAAGGTCATTATCGACAAGGTGATAGATATATTTACTAGCCACCAGGCGAAGGAAGCATTCTGCGATCTCATTGGAAGCCCTCGTTCTGGAGTTTGGCATAGCCGAGAGAGAGAGAGAGAGAGAGCGTTCAGCTGTAGCACCCTTCCGGTGCCTAGCTGCCATGCCACCCGAAAAAAGCATGAGGGCTGGGATACTGCCAGGTTGCTCAAGCCTAGACAGGGGAAGTCGAGTGGCGGAGGTCGGATTCGAACCACGAACCTTCCGGTCAGTAAATTCGCGCTCTAACCACTTGGGCCATCTCGCCCCGGCATAGCCGGTAGCTACAAATTTTGTTCTCTTGCGTTCCCAATAATCTAACGCGTGATTCTTCCTGCCCGACCAAAAGCTGCCCCCTTGTGATGTTCGAGCTTGAGGGCTGTAATGATCCCGTGGGCTATACTATGGGTAATACGTTTCACAAGATACAACCATGCGAAGAAGGCAAAAGCGGATCAACCAGACAAAGAGCGGCAGGCCCCCGTACAATTAATAACTCAGGCGAAGCGGTTTGGAGGCAAAGTCATACTGTCCTCTACGGCACGAGTGTGAACGTAGTGAGGGGTTTTCACCAAACAACCAGCAGATCAATTTTTATGTTGATAAGGACTCTGGTACTCTTTTCATCGGCTATCATTAACACTGGCAGACATGGCTCATTCACGCAGTCGGTGGTGCTCCTGTATCAAATCTATCGTCTTCAAAGCGTGGTTCACCAGTTTTGTGAACTAATTGACTGCCATTGTCTTCAGTGGTCGACTATCTTCCCCACTCTCCCATTTTCTGATGACTTACTCTGCAGCAGCTGGGACCAACGTACCCCATTGGTGCATGGTTTGTGGCTAATTCACTGACTAAAGTTAGCAAGCTAAGTATACATAATTTTTGTCTTTGTTTTTTGTCAACATTTTATCCTATATTTTGTGTGCAATATTCCGACGACGCTTTAGAGTGGGCTGCTTGTATATAGACAACGAACTCCCGTTCTAGTAGCACTCCGTCAGATTTTTCTGTGGCATTATTAATTTTTCTTTAAAAGATAATCGGTTGGTCCACTTCTTTCAAGGCATAGCTGCGTTATAACCAGCAGGAACCGCGAGAACTCAACTTCTGTTAGACTTTGCCTATACAGTTAGGATCTCAAAATGGATATCGAATCACACTACTTTTTCAGGAGTGAGATGCACCAATTGGTTAGAGCGCGGATTTAGTGACCGGAATGTAGGTGGTTCGAACCCGACCTCTGCCTCTCGCCTTCCCCTGCCTGGGCTTGGGCAACCTGGCAGTATCCCAGTCTTCGTGCCTCCATGTGGCAAGGCAGCTAGGCATCGGAAGGGTTCTACAGCTGAACAGGGAACTTCTTTCAAGTTCATTGTAGAGGTTCCTCCAAAGGAAAGGGCGCTATTCCGTCAAAAACCACTGCCCATGTATAGTAGAAAATTATTGGCAGTTTAGTCGCCGATTATGGGCCACAGTTTGTTATCAGGTGGTCAAATAAACGGGATACTCGGTGTAATGTTGGAAATGCTAGATCACGTTGGCTTTGTCAGTGGTCGTTAGTTTTCGGACATGAAACTAGCCGACGCAAAACTGATAGTTAATTCTATTTCCTGCCTACGTTTGCGTAACCTGGCATTGTTCCGGGTGGCATGGCAGTTAGGCACCGATGTGTGTTACAGCTGAGCGATTTTCTATTTGCATAAACCACCCGTCTGGTTTAATGAGTTTCGCAGCGGACAGCAAAAGTACATTGGCTAAACACTCATCGGTATACTGATTTGGTTTTGACGAGAGATTCATATGATTCGAGCTGGGTCTCTCGTTTATGGTGGTCTTCAGCTGAATGTGTTGCACAAGACCGCCCCGCGTTTAAGCTGGTATGATTTTCGGGATATCGCAATACATTGTATGAACACAGTAGCTGAAAACTCCGTAGGGTTTTCAACAGTCTTACGAGTAGCGTTTTACGTGTACACAAAAATCAGTGGGATTTTAAATGGCTGGAAAGGGATGTTGAGTGCTTTAGGTAGTGTATTCGTAAGGCACTATGCTAAACACAGTTGCTTTGCTTTTCCCACTCCGTACAGGAGTGGAGATGTCAAGCGAGCGGTAATGATGGTAATTATTATTGATACTCTATTCTTAAATTGCGGGTGGAAGAGTTCGTGTGGTGGACGCTGATTGAACAGTCGAAATTGAGCCATCCCGACTGAGAGCTACTTCGGTGTCCGTCCTGGGACAAAAAGTAATAAAAAAAATCGTTCAGCTGTAACACCGTCCCTGTGCCTAGCTGCTATGCCACCCGAAGGAAGCACGAGGGTTGAGATACTGCCGGCTTGCCCAAACCTAGACAGGGGAAGTCGAGACACAGAGGCCGAATTCGAACCACGGGCCTTCCAGTCAGTAAATCCGCACTCTAACCACTTGAGGAATTAGTACCAATTTCTTCGCTCTGACCAGAAGAGCGCTGAGAGGAAATTGTATTATGCGCTTTACATCCGGTGCATCGTTCCTACATTCTGCCACTGGTTTGTGGCTTTGAATAATCCAGTTGTACATTTTTGTCACTCAAGCGGACTGCGTCCCTATCCAAGCATCGGAAGGAAATCACGAGTACCTAGGGTTTTTGAACAGTCGTGCGATTGTGAAGCAAATACCATAACGAGGATTTTCCGTGCGAATACCACGCAATCGGACGAGACCTGGCCCTCATGACCACGGTAAACTTTTCATCTCTCTTCAGTTTCATCCCTCACAGCCATATCTTCTCGCAAGTGGTTGTTTGGGTGGTGGACTGCGGATATGGAACCTAGAATGTCTCGCAGACAACATTCTTCATCCCCAACCGGTCCGCAATATCTCCCATACGACACAGTGGAAACATGCGGGCGCTATTGCTTCTTTGGCCTTCCATCCGGTGCATCCTATTTTGGCCGTAGCTTGGTACGTTGGGTGTTTCTGCATATTTTTGTAATGGTCAGATTGAATTTTAATTTGCATTCATGATCTTTGGTATCTTGGTGTGTTGCCGTGAATGAACGTCTGCCATAAAATAAGGCCTCAAATGGGTTTAACGACGTGCCATATATTTCAAGAGAAGAATTCGAAAATTGCATTTGCTAGGGATCAGGTAGTTAGGGCTTACACCGTACATACCCGCAGTCGAATGGCCTCACAAACTGCAGTTGTCAAACTACAGAGGATTGGCTTGGGGTCAGGAGGAAGTGAGCTTGTCGCTGGTGTTGTTAGCGCATAGTGGTTTAACACTAGTCATTGTGAAGAAGTCCCCATTCGTGTTGACTTACGTTCGACGTCCACGTGTTACTGTCAGTGAAGAAATTGGTTTGTCGTCATCTGGGAAAAAGCAGGAGATTAACACAAAAAATTAAAAATCTCACAGGAATGAGCTGAAACTACGCTGATAGGCAGGAGACCTCGACCACTTCCTATGAGCGTCGGAGTCAGGTAGGAAAACCAGCAGAATCCAAGTGTAGGCTGATATCACGAAAGCTGTGTATTCGGTGGCGAGGGTCTTTGTTGTCAGTTGAAGAAATATCTCCATGAACAAGGTGGTCAATGAAGGCTCTGGAAGCCACTCCCCAATCAACCAGGTTGGAGAGAACTAAACATCTGTGATGTGTGTCGACAGGGGATGCATGTGATGGTATATACTGCTGATGCGAGTTGTCAGCACCAGGCTGAAACGCCTTTTCTCACAATTAACTGGTCGGTACATTTGCACTCAGTGATTTGCTGTTACTCCGTTAATGTCAGACGTTCAGTGGATGCTCAAGAAGAGTCCGGAAGTACGTCCGACTATTTAGTCCTTTAATACCGTTGTAGATGAGTTTCTCTGTTCTGTTCATCTGTGCAAAGTTCATTAATGTTTGGTGACGAATGAATTCGCATCATATCAGCCTTATATCACTCTGGTTATGTCATAATATAATTTGCTGTTATTATTCATATATTATTACTGTCGTTGTTACAAGCCTGGCTTTAAAGCTCATGGTCACACAAAGTTTGGCAGTTTTGGTGACGGAAGTACAGAACGACCAAAAGGAGAAATATTCTGGCGAGTGTGTTGTTGATAGTTCAGTCAACCACGGAGGATCACTTCCGAAAAGTTAAGTAGAGTTGAACGTGGAAGAGCTAATCATGAATAGAGAGGAACAACTGTGGTCGTGTGTGTGATGTTCGCACATCGAAAACATTTCCTCTCTTCTCTCTTCTGTGGCCTCAACTGTTACGCGTACCTTCGTTTCGTAACTTATTCTCAGCGGGGTTCAGGATTGGCATTTTATTTTGTCTATTGCAAGTGTTTGTGAGACTACGGTCGATAACTTATTCCAAACGCCGCTCTTTATGGTCCATTTTCACATCAGGACTCAGGAAGTCGTATTCTATGACTGGGTATCTGGTCGGAAACTGTCCGTCTGGCGCTTTGTATCAAACCAATCACGTGTCCGTTGGTTGAGGTTCAACCCAGACGGAACCCTGCTGTACACTGCTACGGCCAATCCTTCGATGTCGAATCATGGCGAGACTAACGTACAAATCAACACCAGCTGTGTCCCTGATGCATTTTGCTCATCCAACGAGACAAGCCCCACTGCAACGCCAACTAAACGTAAGAAAGCCTTTAATGAATCTCTTCACTTTATTTATTTTGCACATAGAATACAAATTATGAGACGTAGGCGGTCAGCAAATTTTGGGATGCCCAATCGGAATCAAACACGGAATTTCCTGAACCTATTCATTATACTACTCGTGCGTTAGTAACCTGTGAGTGATTCCGCAGTTGACATCTGCCTGTTTACAAATGAGCGCGCCAGTGAATTTTTCGAATCCAACTTTCAGGGATCCCGTTTCTCCAAACTACCAAGTTACGTCCCAAGTCTCAGAACCATTGGCTTATATAATTTGGATGCAGTCCGTTTAGCCGATGAGCATTCCTTATTTTTGTTTGCACCCTTATCTACCGGGGCTTCCTACCGCTTCTCCTGTTTGCTCCATTTGATCAATATCATCACCACCATCACCCGCATTGGTTGCACTGGTTGACTTATCATGTGTTCGCATTTTCTGCCTATGACTCTACGCGACCAGCATCAATGCATCGCAGTTTTTGAAGCTGGAACCAAATAATTATTGCCCTCGTGAGAACACCAGTCAACCAGCGTCAACTAGCCCGCACCTCGGATAATAAAGCTTCATATAGCTTGCTCATCGCACTCTCCATCTAGAAGTATTGTGTTTTATCACTTTTACTTTCAAGCGTCATCTCATTTCGACAGTACACCACTTATCAGGCTTGATGTCGCTGGATATGAACATGCTGCCGTCTAATAGTCACAGTATCTTGCTCTGATTATCTGAGTCTAGTTAGCGTTCGGATGGACGGACCTGGTGGAGTCAAATTGCTATGGAAATGGAGGAAGCAAGTACGACTGGGAATGTCCGGAAACTGATTTTCATGATTCACAAAACGAAACCAAAAATTCGTTTGTTAGTGGGGTGATCAAAGGTACCTTACGATTAAGTTCAGTCTTCGTTATCTCGAGGTAGCTCAGTGGTTAGGTAAGGCGCGAACTTATTGATCGGTAGGCCTGTGTTTCGAACCCAGTCCAGACATCTCGACTGCTCCTATTTAGGCTTAGACAAGCTGACAGTATCTCGGCCCTCGTGCTCCTCTCTGCACGGCAGTTATGCACCAAATGACTAACAACGGGGCGTTTTTGGTTCTAAGCCTTATTGGATATGCCCTTTAATCAGCAGTGCCCTTGCCGTCACTTTCTAGCTCAACTGCTTGGCTCTTCTCAAATGAGGTAAATGAATAACGTTGGATCAATCCCACTGATTGCGGCTTACTCAGGTGTGTTGAGCGCGTCGCTGTTCCAGGCTGTAAACTTGTTAGCCGTTTTCACTTAAGCTATGGAACTTTTTCTTTCAACTCTTAACTAGTGCATTGTTTCCTCATGATTGTATGGCAGTTACCAGTATTTACTGCTGGTGCATTACTGTTGATCCAATACGCTCGAAATACTTTTAAAACCAAAGAGCCCGGTGCTGCTCAAAAGGCACCTGCTGTGCGCAGCCGCATCAGGAATGAGACAGTAATGCCTTATTCCCTGCGCCCTCG